GAACCGAGGCCAAAGTGGCTCTACCCCCGCCTCTCGAGCACTGGTGTTTTTCCCTCATGTGTCTGAGGGTCAGGGAAGTGCAGGACCCCTGCCCAGCCCGTCACAGCCACGCTGTGAGACAGTCGCATCCCTTTGGGTCAGGTCCTGCAGACGTTTGTTCCAGGAGTAGCCCCTGAGGCCAGAGAGCTGGAACCCCCGAAGCCCCATGGAGACCCTGGCGCTGTGTCTTCCTCTCAGCCATCAGTGTGTCTCTCAGTGTCCACGCACAGTGTGAAGGCTGGAGGCGGCAGCACTGGAGGGTCAGATCAGACCCAAGGAAGGGAGGCAGTGGGACAGGCGTTGGAGCCAACCTGCAGGAGGCCTTTGTCCCCTGCCTGGCCAGCGAGGGCTGGCGTCACCTGCTTCTGGCAAAGGGGGAGTGGAAGGGTGTTGGGGTGATGGCCGAATGAGAAGGCAGAGGACAGCTGCTTGGGGAACAGACACGGCCAGGGCAGAGGGGAACAGGGCGAGCGCGCCGGTGCCAGCTGCCTGCCTGGCACCCCTGATGCTGACACCGACCCCTGCCTCACACCGAGATGCTGTGGCCTGACCATGCTTCCACCACTCCATCTGTTTTGTATTTGGCTGGCTTGTTTGGCTCCAATGGTACCTGTGAGCTGGGGTGGGGCCCCCACTGTGTCAGGTTCACAGCATGTCCATAGCGGGTGAGCATTTCCTACCAGTACCAGCCTGGCCCCACCCGGGTGATTATTCCAAAGGAGCCCATGCTGGTCCAGGGGCACAGGTGGAGGTGGAGTCCTGTCCCAGGGCTGGGGAAGCTCGTCGCCTACAGCCCCTCCATGTCCCCACAGGAGGAGAAGAGCTGGCAGGAGGGGCAGAGGGCACAGGCCTCCCACCCCAGGAGCCACGGTGCAGCGAGCAGGGGAAGACGGCCCCTGAGGCACCCCCAGCAGAGTCGCACTGCTGGCCAGCAGAGGCCACCCCCCAGACAGGCGCTGAGCCCACCTGCAGCCAAGGTAAGGCCAGGCAGGAGCAGCCCAGCACTGTCCCCAGGGTGGGCTTCCCAGCAGAAGGGCTTGAGGGGGGCCCAGGGGTGAGCTAGGCAGGCCAGGCAGGGCAGGCTGGGCTGGAGAGCTTCGTGGGGGAGGCAATGGCTCTGAGAACCCCCCACCCCGTTCCACCCTCGGATTCACAGAGGGTAACAGCTAGGGAGCTGAGCCCAGGCCAAGGCTGCGTGGCCGAAGGGGAGGCGGGGGGCCGTGCCCCAATGGGGCCAGGGGAGGGGCAGGCGTGGGGGGAGGAGTCAGGAGCAGGCAGAGGTGCAGGTTGAGCTGAGCCAGACGGGTGTCCGGTCCTAGTCCCAGCCTGTTCCCACCAGCCGCCCCATCCAGCCATGCCCCTCAGGGACTCCTCAGGGCCGGGGCCTCTCGCAGACCCCACTCAGGACAGCAGGGCCTGGTGCCAGCCCCAGGGGGCCCGGCATGGGCTCTGAGTAAGCCCTGCTCCTTTTAAAGCCATGGAACTGCAGAGGAATGTGGACGCCAGCCAGAGTCCCAGCTCCTGCTGCTCCCCGGAGGCCGCCATCCCCGGCACCGCTGCTTCCTGGCTCCGGCTCAGCCTGGAGCTGGAGGGGAGGGTGGATGCTGGCCGAGTGTTGGCTCTGGGTCCCAGCATCTTCCCTGTGGAGGACAACCACAGGACATGCATCCTAGGGTGGTCTCCGGCTGTAAGAACTAACACTAGCACAAGGCCTGGGAGCTCAGGGCTCGCGGGTGTGCTGGGCTCCCAGAGGACACCGGGCGCCGGGGGGCGTCCCCACAGCCCAGAGCCAGAGCCAGAGCCGGGCAGTTGTGGAGGCAGAGAGACAGCAGGAGGCCTAGGAGCCCACAGCCAGCAGAGCCAAAGACGCCGGGAGAGGGCACTGCAGTTTGATGCAGCGAGAGGAAGCGTCTTGGTGCCTCTGTTGTCTGGGGAGAACTGAGGCCCCAGCAGGGGAGGGGCTGCAACCCGGCTCAGCCCCCTTGGTCCACCCTGCAGGCGCCAGCTCCAAAGTGCCCAGCGGTGGGAGTGCCCAGCCACCCGAGGGCCACCCGGGCAAGGCAGAGCCCGGCCGGGCCAAGTCACGCCTCCTGCCCAACATGCCAAAGCTGGTCATCCCCTCGGCCGCCACCAAGTTCCCCCCTGAGATCACCGTCACGCCACCCACCCCGACGCTGCTCTCACCCAAAGGCAGCATCTCGGAGGAGACCAAGCAGAAGCTGAAGGTGACTGGGCTCCTGGGTAGGGGCAGGGGCGGGGGCCAGGCCTGGGCTGCCCCTGACCAGTGCCCTGCCCGGTCTGTGCAGTCAGCCATCCTGTCTGCCCAGTCGGCTGCCAACGTGAGGAAGGAGAGCCTGTGCCAGCCGGCGCTGGAGGTCCTGGAGACGTCGAGCCAGGAGTCCTCGCTGGAGAGTGAGACGGATGAGGACGACGACTACATGGACATCTGAGGGGCCACTCCCCATGCAACTCACCCAGCTCCCACCTGCCAGGGGACTCTCTGCCCACATGGCGGGGCGTCCCCACCACAGGGCCACGGGCCATGCAAAGGTGGCGGGTCCTGTGAGCTCAGCAGGCCCCCATCCTTTTTTATGAAGTGTTGACTTTGTAAACGTGCCCGCCCCCAGCCCAGGTGGCCGTGTCCAGGCTCGGTGGGACGGGCTCTGCCTGGGTCCGTCCAGAGGTGGCCCTGTGGCAGAGAATCCTTTTTTTGGTTGCTTTTCTAATAAAGATGGAACACTTGTTTTGTCTTCTTTGTTCCCCTGGGCGATCAAGATCGCTGTCCAGGGCTTCTGGGCCCTCCTCCCCAGGCCAGGTTAGGGCCCAGCTGGCCGGCAGGCCGGGAAGCAGGTGGGGAGCGACCCAGGGCAGACCCTTCCAGGTGAGACCAGAGACAGGCTTAGACAGGGCAGAGGAGTGAGGGGGGGCCTGGCTGTGCTGGACGGCTGGCCTGCACCCCAGTGGAATGGGGACCTTTGGTGGGTGCTGACCTCCCACCACGTGCCCTCTAACAGGACCAGCCGCCTGCTTCGGGGGACTCGGTGCAGGACACAGACGTGGAGCCCCTTGTTCAAAAAGAATCTTGAGGCAACAGCAAAGCCATGCAGGTCCTGCTGTCCCGGCCCCAAGCCCATCTGTCTGGGGACGCACAGGCTTCGGGGCCCACCTGCCCTTCTCCACAGCCGGGCACCTTAGTGCCTGGTGCCTCCCCTGAGAGGCACTCTGTCCAGGACGGGGACGGAGACCCTCCTTCCTTCTCTGCGCCCCTGCCCAGGAAGAAAGGTCTAAGAGGCTAGGCCCAGCCAGGGTCCCCAGCACAGGCCTGGCAGAGCCACCGTGGGAACCCAGAGGCACTGAACCGGCCCTGATTCCGGCCTTTCTCAAGGCCACAGGGACTGAGGGGCCCAGCAGTTACTCAGCCAACTCCTCCTCCCTGGGTCCCCATGCTGCACTCCTGCTTCTCCTGGCTTCTCTCATGCACGCAGCCAGAGCACAGGCTGGGAAGAGGAGGCAGCCACCTTCCTTCCTCGGGGCCCTTTCTGGGGGCAACCCAGACATCCCCAGGGCCCCTGCTGGCTCTGGGGCTCAAGGCACCTCAAGCCTG